AAAGTGAAAAGATTCAGATGTTTCCACTTGTATGTAGAGTATAAATAACCAAAAGACCCCATAGGCAAAATATAGCATGAATAAACCTTGATCTATTAATTCTTTAGTGAAGAATTACCAGAGGGAACAGGGGAAGAAAGAAGGGGTGTAGAGGGAGGTAAAGTGGGTATTGGTACAGGTGGTTTGGTGGAAGGTAAGTAGAACACGCATACAAATAATAGAAAAAATATAACCCCAAACTAAAAAATAATAATAATAATAATAAAGTAACACTTGAATCTTGTGGTAGCTAAATAACTATACCTAGGTCAACTTTATTTTCCATGTGCTAACACCCTTAAGATGTGATTAAGCAGCCCCCAAAATCAAGTGTCACCCAGAATACATGGCTGTACCCATATAAAGGCAAACCACATATCTAGCTATAGATCTAAATATCTATGGTACCAGACCCTTAGTGGTAATGCCAGAAGGAGAATGCCATCATCTGAGAAAAGCCAAAAATATATGCAAGAAAAAAGACCAAAACCCTACTTTATTAGAATAGAAAAGGAAACATTTACTTGAATTTATAGGAAACTTGGGGAAAATTTACATTTATCGAACTTATAAGGATGCTAAACAAGTGAAACTTCTCATTTGAAATTTAATTTCCTTTTGACGTTCTCAGAAAAAAAAATGAAATACTAAAACATTCATATTAATGCAATCTCTAACAAAGTTTCAATGACATTCTTCAAAGAAATGGAATAAGAATTACTGAAATGTATATGGAACCAGAAAAGATCCTTTACAGCCAAAGCAAGTCTTCCTGACAAGACAGAGGAAGCCGTATTGCTAGATTTTAGAATAGACTACAAAGCCACAGTAATCAAACAGTATGATTACTGGAACAAAACAACACACAGACCAGTGGAATAGGGTTGATACCGAAGAACTAAACCTACACGCATATGGGCAGTTAATTCATGACAAGGAGCCAAAGTATACATTGGAGAAAGGAAATTCTCTTCAGTAAATGATACTGGTAAACCTGGACAGTCTCATTCAAAAGAATGAAACTAGATTTCATACCAAACACAAAAATTATGGGCTAAAATGGGTTAACTCTAAATGGGTTAAAGATGTGGATGTCAGAACAGAAACCAACTGACTTCATGATGTCTGTGGGGATTTGACACCGGCAGCAAGACAAATGAAACCAAAAATAGGCAAATAGGATTATATCAAACTAAAAAACACCTGCTTAGTGAAAGAAACAATTATAAGATGAAAGGCAACCAAATGAATGGATAAAATACTTGGATTTTACACATCTGACAAGGGGTTAGTATCGAAAATAGGCAAAGGACTCATACAACTTACGGAAAAAACCACCCAATTAAAATGCGCAAATTGCAAAGTAGACAGTTCTCTAAAGATGAAGCACAGATGGCCAACAGGCATGTGAAAAAATGCTCACCACTTCTCAAGAAAACTCAAACCAAACCACAATGAGGTAACTCCTTCATACCTGTGAGAACTGACTATCAATAAGACCAGAAACAAGTGTGGACAAGTATGTAAGGAAAAGCGAAGCCCTCATACACTGTTGTGGGAATGTAGACTAGTTCACAGTTGAAGTTTTTTTTTTTTAAAAGGGGGGTTTCTCTACAATGAGATACCACCTCACCCCAGTGAGAATGGCACATCTTAAAACAACTAGCAACAACAAATGTTGGCGAGGATGTGGAGAAAAAGGAACTCTCCTGCACTGCTAGTGGGAATGCAAAGTAGTACAACCACTATGGAAAACTGTTTGGAGGTTCCTCAGACTGCTAAACATGGACCCAGCAATCCCACTCCTAGGTATCTACCCAAAAGACACAAAAACACTGATTGAAAAAGATACTTGTACCCCCATGTTTATTGCTGCTTTATTTACAATTGGAAAAACATGGAAGCAGCCCAAATGCCCAAAAGTAGATGACTGGATTAGAAAGATGTGGTACATATATACAATGGAATACTACTCAGCAACCAAAAAAGAGAAACACATGTCTTTTGCAGCAACTTGGATGGAGCTGGAAAAGATCATGCTTAGTGAGATAAGCCAGAAAGAGAAAGAAAAATACCGGATGGTTTCACTCATAGCAGGAGTATAATGGACCAGGCGAGAAAATAACAAAAATAATG